TTGCTTTTCGAGTCTAAAATGTAACACTAGATTTATGCAAAACTCATTTAAGCCCCACTCATCCTGTTGTCCCTATTGCAGATTCCTTCTGGCAACAGCTGGTACATTGATAATATTACTATCATAACCGTGGTCGTGCTGATATTTGCTGTTGTATTGCTATTATTACAGAATTTTTAGTCGAAATTTTACCTCATAAGCTTTATCAATGCTACGATTTGTTAGAGTTTTTCAAAAATTTTCATAAAACTCAAATCAGCTTATATTTGTGTACCGAAATTGATGTCACGTGCCCAGTATCATCTGCTTTGTTCAAAAAGTGAGTGCAACACTTGCCATTGATGTATGAGATTTTACTTTAATTATGATATTTAAATCACATATTGTTTTTTTTTTCATATTGCCCCTTCAGAATGTTTTATTCTAATTAAAATTTTCCAATTTTATTTGAAGCAAAAATTGCTTCATGAAGTTTGCAAGGCAAAATATAAATATTTTTCATCAAGTTTATAGTATTGAAATTTCATTTTGAAATCTTACAGTTACTACCAAAAATACTTTGAAAATTGAGTTCTTACACTTTGAATATTATTTTGGCTGATTTAATCAGATTTTAACTAAATCTCAAGTCAAAATATTCTCACTTGACATATCATATTAGCTCAACCATACCAATATGTGGTATATACCTTCTGCTCAAAAAGTATCCGGATTTTGTTGTTTGTTAACTACTTCTTAAGTAATAGACGTTTTTTGTTATGTTAGGACACCCTTTCTTGACATATGGTACAAATTGGAGCGCCATCTGTCAATTAGTTTGTTTACAGCAGCTGTTAATGTGAGACTACCTGAAGTGCATTTAGCGATTTTTACTATGGAAAATTCTTGTTGTACGCGATTTTTTGACCAAACACGGCACCACTGTCATAGCTCAGACACCATATTTGCCAGATCTGGAGCTGTGCGACTTTTTCCTGTTCCCGAAACTCAAATTGTCTCTTCGTGGTAAGCCTTTTGAGTCGATTGATTCGGTAAAAGAGAATTCGCTGAAGGAACTAAAAGCCATACCTGCACTGGCCTACGAAAAGTGTATGGAAGATTGGGTTAAGCGTTGACATATGTGAATCGCTTCAGAAGGCGCATATTTTGAAGGAGATAAAATAAATTGGAATAAAATTTAAATTTGAGTGTTTAATTCACAAAATCCGAGTACTTTTTGACCAGGGGGTACCTATAGCGTCTTTAGTTTCTTTACCACAGCTAACATTTTTCTAAAAAAATCATCAGGCCACTTTAACGAGTACGTGGTTAGAGCATACTTTTCCTATTGTAACTACTTGATTTGATTCAAGGTCATGGTAAAACCAAATTGTCATCTATAGTACTGAAACGGATCGAAACAAAAATTCAGGCAAATATGCTCGCTTAAGTTACATTTGAACACTGTTGTATTGAGTTCTAATAATGTCTGTGCACCATAGGTTTATGAGTACAAAAACCCAGATGTAAGGTATTGATCACTATGCCTACTGAAAAGCGTAATTTTTTCTATTTCAATTTTTGTTCTTCCAATTCCATTTTTGTAATCTTGTTACAATTCCTGATAACGTTCCTGATAATTTTTAAACACCATTTCGATCACATTTCGATCAATTAGCACGATCATATATTACCGATATGATATACATAGATGTTGAAAATACACTATCTTCATGAAATTTTTATGATTGTCATTAGTGCTATTAGTACGTGTTGAGACTTCAGATATTTTGGTTGTAGAATTCGAGTAAATCATTTTTATTTTTTTCAAATAAAATATTTTATTTAGTTTGTCTATACATTATTATAATAGAGATGGTTTTATTATGTTTGAATACAGACCTGATAAACGATTCATGTAAGTAGTGAATACGATTTAATTCAACTTTCTATAAATTGTCATATGCAATGAAACTATACATATAGTAGAGTTGGCATTTTTTTTACAAAAAATATGAAGTGCTGAGCTATAAGACTTAAAAAAATCCGTTTTTTATTTTTTGAACGCCAAAGGCGGGCATTCATTAAGAACTTGTTTTATGGTTTATTTTTCCTGCAGGCTTTCAAAACTTCTGCAGTGAGAATTATAAGAAATGCACAGTTTCTCTGCTTGGGTTCCTATGCACTATTAAACGGATAGAACTACAGTAAGCCTTGCAATATTCACTGGAACTCTTTTGATAAGTTTCCAAGATCTAGTTTTATTATGGGTGGGCTATGTTAAAGGAGAAGTTGCACATGAGTAAAGTGCCTTGCATTTGCTATCCGCAAGCTGAAAATAGTAGAAGTAAAAACTTCTCTAAAGTGGTCTTTAAGATAACATAAACCAGTATTACTAGGGACGTATCCACGGAAAAGACTAAAGCGGGCTAACCTATCAGCTTTTTGTTTTCTTCGATGTGCCTATATCCTGAGAAAATAAATGGAAGTGAATATTAAAAAGAGAATTTATGGATATTCTCCAATTTCTCGTGTTCTGTACATGGTATATTGTGACAGCAATTTTTAGTTATGTCCCGAAAGAGCGTAAATCTGTCATGATCATTCATCACATGATCGTTTGCTTAACATAGTCGTTCGTAAAGTCTTAATACTAAAAAACTGTCAGTGTATTCTTTTGAAAGTTTTCATTCATTGTAATTCATTAAAATAATATAAATTTTTTTTAAATATTATTTTTATGAAAAATTCAAGAAAGTTTTTAATACAATTTATATTTCAACTTTGGTGGTCATTTATAATGATTTGTTATTTTATATTATGAAAAGAATTTCCACATCATGCAATTACTTGAATAACTGAAGATATTAAAATTAGAATAAATTTGCCATTATTTTTTGGGAAATGTTTACTTATATGAGAATCAATTAAAGAACAATTTGTCAATTCAGGCTTTAGAAAAAAATAAAACTATACATAAATAATGCAATAAAGCAACAAAACTAAAATCAATTTTAATTTTCACAGAACAAATATTTCAGAATACATTTTTGCAGTTTTTCAATAAACTCACAATGTTGTTTACTTTTCAATTTGTGCAATAAATTGTTGCAGCTGCTACATGCAACATGCAACAACGCAAACAACTCTGGCAAATATTTGCATTGCCTTCAAAAAAAAAAAAAACAATTAAAGACATCCCTGTACATTAAAAATAAATTTTTATTGCTTATATTTAAAAAGGAGAATATAAAAAAAAATAAAATAAATAAAATTTTTATTTTTATTTTTTAAATAAATTTTTATTTATTTTTCGTTTGCAATTCACTTATAAAATTGTTTGGTCTACTTGGAATTCATCCAATGTGATTATAATCGATCGTGTGAATGCATAAATTTGCCGAGTGCACTTTACAGGGCGTATGATTCATACAAGCGGAAACTATAAGTATCGAACTTTTTGACCGCTATTTCCCAACTCATTTCATGTAAAAAAATTATTGGAAAATTTTTTATTTTCAATAAAACAGTGTTGTGCAAGAATTATTATTAAAATTCATCTATAAGTTATGAAATTTATTAAATCCAAAATCATGCACAACTAGAATAAATGTTGAAAAATTTATGATTTTATTGACAATCAAATTGTGTAATTGGGTATCTAAGTCTCTAATGTTCTCATTCTCATACTTAGAAAAATTTTTTATATATAAATATTTTTTTTTTTTTTTTTTTTTTTTTGTTTTTATGATTTTATTATTTTGTGTAATATTTCAATTTGTTGAACTGCAACTATTTCTGCTCAATTGGTTCTGCTGTCATTAAAGTTAAAATTGCTGTGCACGGAATATTTGCATGACCGTCTGTCTGAGAGAGTATATACATAGTATGGCCCCACTTCACACTCAATCATGCACGTTTATCTGTTCGGTTTGTGCTTTTAATAAATCCTTTTTCCGTTAGTTACATTTTTATTTCATGCTCGATATGCTGCATGCAATCCTGTCATAAATAATTAATTAAAAGTGTATTTGTTTTTCATGTGTAATAAAAGTGTATGCTCGTATGTATGTATTCAAACAATATCTCCATTTTTATTTTTAGGTGAACTGAATTGAAAACATATGCCAACATGTTCAAGCAAATTGCTCTGATTTCTGGATTTTTTATTTTAGGTAAGTGAATTCCAATTTTAAATTATTAAATCGTTTGATACAAAAAAAGTATGTAAATATTTAAAAAATGTCGCGATGCAATAAAAATTTTCAATTGATTTGTTTGTGTTGCGCGGTACTGTAATTAATACAATTACATTCTCTACATAGCTTTGAGAAAAAACTCGTTGAAATACACATTATGTATAGTCCAATGTATATAATATAATATAATTAACAGTTGTAACTAAAAGGTATATGAAAACAATTAAAAAATATTTAATATAATTATATATTCAAACGGTGTGTTGTG